AAACACCTGTTAGTGGCTTTCTCTAGGATTCGGAGTGGGCTTCAAGGGTTTCACTTACATCTGTCGGGTCATCTTCTTCAACTGCCCGGAAAGAAAGCGCATCGCCAAATTGCTGGTCCGGAACACCTTTCTGGAGAGAGATGATGCTGTTGAACAAGGGCATACCGGATAGATTCAGACCATGCTGAATCTGTGCCAGGGAACAATGCTGGTGGGCCAAAGCGGTAAAATAGTCGCTCTGCATAGTGTCGACCGCGTCCAGAGCAGCCTGGTGCTGGTCCAACCGCACCCGACAAACCAGCATATTAATGAACGCTCCCACAGCGTTCTCTATGCCTCTCACAGGTACATCACGGCCAGAGGCCACGTAGCCAAAGCAGACATCGTCGGATCCAGTGTACGCCCGGAGAACCAAAGCCCATGCAGTTTGTATCACATTAGCAATAGTGACTCCATGTGCTACGGAAAACTTTAACAGATCCTTCATTCCGGCGAAGGGAACTTTCACAGACCGGATCTGCTTGGAGGCCCCATCGCGAGGGTACATGGGAACAATGGTCGGTTGAACTCCTGCAAGGTAGCCGGTCCAGTGACTCATGGACTCGCCTTGGGAGTGCTCCGGAGAAGAGATGTAGTGGATATAGTCACTGTACAACGATGCAGGCTCCGTGAACGATTTGCCGTCAAACGCCAGTGACATCTCCTGCAAGACTACCTCGGTGGACCCACCATCCACGATCGCATGGCTGAGCTCCACCATCATGTAGACGTTGTCGCCACGGGTACGACAGATGGTGAGATGGTGCTGGGGTTCTGAGGGGTTGTAGGTTGGCGAAGGCAGAGACTTCAGGAACTTGGTTACCTCCACTTCATCATCTGAGCACATGTACTCGCAGCAATATACGCTGGCAGTGACGTTCTTGAGTACGATCTGCTGGAAGATACCACCGGCGTCGACGAAGATGCTTCTGAGAGATTGGTGGCGATCTACAACGCCCTGCCAGGCACGCTGAAGACCCAAAATCGTCGTGTTTGCATCCATAATGGAAAGCACTTTAAGGACACGTCGAATTTCATACGTGCCGGGGAATTTGACCTGGCTCAGAAGAATGCCATCCTGGACAGGGGAACAGCCGTAGACATCTTCCACGTCGTCCTTGCTAGAGAGTCCAGCTTTGGACAGAAGCGCATCGTCGATGGCAGCAGTTCGCTCGGCAGCCGTGGAAGCCGGGGCAATAACGGTGTCCTCCTCCACAGACACCTGGGATGAGCGGACGGTCTTGGAAGCCAAATCAATCAGGCTCTTGGCCCGAACCACATCTAGCACCGAGACCTTCAGCTGCTCCCGGCGGCACCGCGCCACCACTTTCATGGCCGTAATAGAATCACCACCCAAAGCAATGAAAGACCGGTTATACTTCAGCTTCGGCAATGGAAGACCCAGCTCCTCCGCCCAAATTTCTTGCAGAAGAAGCTCCATTTCGGATAATTGCACGGTCTCGCTGGTTTCTTCTTCTTCTTCCATGATACCGGCAACTTCGTTATAAGTGTCTTCGTCCATATCACGAACCCATTGATTCAAAACAACACCATTGACCTTCCCGGACGTCGTGAATGGAAGGGCAGCCACCACCACCCAGAAGGTGGGTACCATATAGCCGGGAACCTGGGCGGCAAGACGGGTAGAAATCTCAGGGATGAATCCGCGTGCTTGCTTTCTCTGGTCGATCAACAGCTCGTGCACGTCGGCGTCTCGTGGCCCCTCATAGGGGAAGGCATGGAGCGAGAGGACAGCCACCAGGTTTCCTTTACAAGGCCCTGCCTTGGGAAGCAGCACGCGAGCATGACGCACCGTGGGGTCCACGGAGAGACGCTGCTCGATCTCGCCTAGCTCCAAACGCTGGCCTCGAAGTTTCACCTGGCGGTCCTTTCGCCCAATAAAGCTGATTGTGCCATCGCTGTTGTTTCTGACGAGGTCACCGGTCTTGTAGAATCGGAATGGGGCTGGCTTGGAGGTCATGTTTTGGAGGAACACGGGTGCCTCGTCCAGGAATACCGCCTCGGTCTTCGCAGGCTCGTTGAGGTAGCCTCTGGCAACAATCGGACCTTGGATGAGCAGCTCACCCACTGCCCCGATTGGGACAAGGCGGTTGTGGTCATCTGGGTGGACGACCCAGCAGACCGCACCGTAACCGCGCCCGATGTTCGCCGGGTCGGCAGCCGGAGTGAGGTGGGGGTTGATCGTTGCGGCGACGGAACATTCACTGGGACCATATCCTAATGCCATAGGTTAGCAAATGGATTCGGCCCACATCAGCAAGCACGGAACCTACCGTTAATCAGATGCAGCTTGCCCGCCCAGGTCGTAACATCGACCTGACTCAATGCTTCACCTCCCAAAGCCAGAGTCTTCAGAGTGGGCACATCAGCGGGGTCGACCAAGCGCACCACCGAAGGGGTCATGAAGGTCCATGTGATGCGCAGCGCGTTGATGATATGAGCGATTCCATGCTGTGCCAGCTCATCGCTGGGGAAGCAAACGCAGGCACCGGTAGTGAGAGTGGTGAAGATTTCGAGCATGCTAACATCGAATGTGTACGGTGTCATCTGTAGGATTCTGCTAGTCGGGTCGATCTCGCCCGCTGTGACGTGCTGGATTGCAGCCGTGAGGAAGGACTCATGTTCCACCACACAGCCCTTGGGGGTTCCAGTACTGCCGGAGGTGAAGATGATGTACAGAATGTTTTTGGGTGTGACTGCAACCGCTGGAGATGCTTTCTGCGCCGGAAGTGCCATCACACTTTCCTGATGAACAGAGAAAACATTGCGGTTGTCCTGCCAGAGCGATTCATATTGCTGGGAGGTTAGAATCAAAGGAGCCTGCAGCTGCTCCATAATTTCCATCAAACGGGACCGAGGCTGTTTCGCGTCCAGATTCACAATGGCACCGCCCGCTTTAACGACAGCGATCATGGTGACGATTGCCCATTTGGACTTCTCGAAGAACAGAGGCACGGCCACTTCAGGGCCCACACCCCGATCCACCAGAGAGTGGGCCAAGCGATCTGTGAGCGCCTGCAGCTCGCCGTATGTCATGCACCCATCTGGGCCTTGGATGGCAAGAGCCTCGGGCTCTTTGCGGGCCCGCTCATCGATGAGATGATGCAGGCAGCGGGAGACCACTTCGGGCATCCGCTTGTTCCATTCCCAGATCTGGTGCATTCCATCCTGGCTCATTAAACTTACCTCGGAGAGGGGGGTTCGGGGGGCTTTGATGATCTCACCGAGTACGTGGCTGAGAGTTGCCGCGCAGTGTGTTGCCTGCGAGGCGGGGATCAAGGAAGTCGGACACTGCAGGTCGACGACAAACTGGTCCTGTAGGTACCGGGCGTGAATGGCAAGGTAATTGCCCGGCTTGGTGCTCCTTGTCAGCAACATCCCAGTCGATCACAATCATCGCGCCAGAGTCCGTACCTGTTCCCGCTCCGGGGATTCTCCATCATACAGCATCACAACGCTGTTGAAAGCTGGACCACCCGCTCGGGCGGACAATTCCTGGAATTCGGCCGGTGTCATCAGGGCGGATGACGAAACACTGGCCTGCAGCTTCTCTTCCGCGTCGACGAGCGTCTTCAGCACGGACTTGCCCCCGTCGATCTCCGCCTGGTAGACACCCACATGAGGCACACCGGCGACGAATCGAACGAAGAGAAACCCGATCGCCTCGGTATCGGCGTACGCGGAGAGAACCATGGCCCAGGCGACATTCAGCACACTCAGGACCGACAGTCCATGGCGTTCGCAGAATGCAGCCAGGGCCTTTCCCTGGGACACGGTTCCCAGGTCCAGGGGGATTTGCGCCTGGTCGGTCTGCTCTTTATCTATAATAACTCCGTCAGTGAGGGTGGGGAAAAAGAAGGAACTCCCCTTGGATCCCATGGGGATTTGGGCCGTGATGGCCTCGAAAGCGGTGTAGTCTCCGGCGTCACCCATTGTGATTAGTATAACTTGGTGATCGAGTTTAAAGGTACGTAAAAGTTGGTGGGAATGCAATTAAAAGGGTAGAGGAAGAGGTAACAGGAGAGGGAGAAGTTGGCAAGACAATGACGGTCGTAGTGTAAGGAGAGAAAGAATGATAAAGTCTGATTGCTTCACGGAAGATCAGAGCTGAGCAGTTCTATAGACCAGGCACGTTTGGTAGATACGGTAAGTACATCCGCCAGAAAGGTGGGAAGAACTGGGTAGATATTAATCCTCGACGGCGACGGCGACTGCAGCGTGCTATTCAGAAACTCCCCATGCGTCCACCAATCAACACGCCTCTCATCCAACATCAAGTTACAGCCGTAGATTCCATGTGCATGTCAGACTGGATGCCCTGCCACCCGCCTTGGTGCGTGGGGGCGGCTCTCCCATTAGGGCTGACGGTACCCCCTGCCGACCTCGTGTCAGCCACGTTTTTTGAACAGTCTGTAACATGTCACAGTCTTGCAGCTAGTCTGAAAGGTGCGCCGCAGGTGGTGATAGCCCCCAAAAGGATTCGTGCGGTCAGCCTGGGGGCCAGAGTTGCCTGAGGCTACTTGTGTTCTTACGCGCATCTTATCTTGCAGTAGCGTCGCGATAGCATGGATTCGTCCGAGCTTACTGCACAAATTGGCCGTATTTAGAAACACGAACGATCCACGATGAGATAAAGAAGAGGACTTAGCCCGAGTTAGTTGCAGAGCCCCAACGCCATGAGGTGAGGACTGTCCTCTTCTGGCAAGGCAAGTTCCGGTAATTAGCAAGTCATCCTAAACCGAGCCCTCCACCCAGGAGGAAATCTGTAGAATAAGCTCTACATGAGCTAAGAAGGAAAATCCAATTACAAGGTTCCATCTCTCATGGCATATGCAAGATCCATGCGCGAGTCAGGAAAGTTGGTCCAAAGACACCTTGGGAGATGTCTTACTCGAAAACTAAACTGATCATTTTCTGGGGCTAGTATGATAACGCCCGATGTCCGCAGAAGGACCCGCTGGGTCACCGCCCCCATTTCTCCGCCGCTAGAGTTTCAAGAGCGAACTTCTGTCGCGGCTGAGCACCTTCGTTGCATTAGCTCGATGCTTCCGCACCAACATTTCCTTCATCAGTTTAGCGCGCACCTATGGATATCATCTTACTATGTTGCAACTGGGGGCGAGGACACAGCTGCCCAATGGTATCCACGCCTGTTCGAAGTTTGATTCCATGACTGCTATTTTGAGACAGCTCGGACTGCAGCCAGTGGTTGGTGCAAGGTGATCTAAACAGGAGCTAAATGCCGAAGGGAGGAGGGGGGACCCCAGTCGCGTACAATTCCATGCAGCATTACGGAGTAGAAGGGTTATATATAGACGAGAGGCCGATCCTTTGCGACGGGTCCTCCGCCATCTCTGAAGGTAATCCACCATGTGTGGATCTTGAGACCACGTCGAATGCTCTTGAATACGCCTTTCGCACGGGCTTTCTGTCGACGGTGACAGCACTGGGACGGCCTCTCCCTGTCACTGCGCAGCGACTTTCTTCCCCGAAATGGTTTGAGCCATGCCATCTTCCCCACTACAGATCGCTGGGTCGCAACGCGCACCATACGCGTCGTCGACAACCTCACGATTGTCCTCCCCGACACATTCTTTCCTTTGAAGTAGGCATCGAGGCAGATTCAGACCACATCGGTAGAGGGTTGTTGTTTGCGATGAGGTTATCGATGCAAATGAACGGGTTTTGCGGAACAGTTCATGTGCAGGACCATGCGACCGTGGGCGCTATATAATTCCGACCGTCATAGTTGGCTCTCACTAGGAGTGTCTGTGACAAGCATGGCAAGTTAATGAAAGGAATATCTATCAATGATGTGGAGTAACTGTATATTTCGCGTAGTCCGAATCATTATCCACGTCTTCCCATTTTATGGCAGCGGGGTTGTGCGTAGTACGCAGAAGGTCGTGTACTCCATGCTCGGGAGATAGACACAGATACAGATACTGCCTGGCATAATAGCTGACCGCTTTGATTCTCTCTGTATGGGCTTCACCGCCATGTCCCCGATGATGAGCTCTTTTGACAGGGTTGAACCCCGGTTGAACCCCGCTTGGCGTTTTCTCGAAGCCCGCTAAGTCGCTTAAGGAAAGGCTTGTTCTGTATACCTTGCTTATTGGTTTAAATTCACACCGCTCTCGGTTAGGACCGCCTCTAACTTATAGTGGTATGGACTGCGGGTCACCATGTTGGCCAATAGCATTTTACATTCTGTTGTGGCATATTTTTCAGATGAGTAGAGAGGAAGACTGTGTCCCCTGTAAAGGCAACGACATTGACCTTGAGGACAGAAATAAAGGTGTCTGGTAGACTGTGAAGAGTAGGTTATTAGGTCGGCTGCCAAATCAAGGAGAAAAAAGCAAATTTCTTTCAATATTTCAGCCGTTCGCTGACTAGACCCATATCTACACTTGTGCCTCGCTTAAATATATATATACTTCTACCTTTTACCACACCGCTCTGCCGCACAAGTCGAGATCATCACCACGTAAACTGAAACCAGGCATTGAAGGGCTGATCAGAGCTGCTATTTTAACTATACTAATTGATATAACCAGGTAGGAATTGAGATTTAAAGGCAAGCTCATTCAAGGAGTTGTATGGTTGTAGAGGGAGCCTCAACGACGCGACGCGTCACAATCACCACCCCAATGCATGGTAGGTATTGAGTGGACTGAAGGTACGACTCGTTACTTCTTTTATCAGATATCCTAACTGCTTATACTGTCGTGTATTTATCTTCTTTTATTTTTATCTCGCGATTCCATCTTATCTTTCGAAAGTTTTCGTTAACCAGAGGCGCTGTACTGTACAGCGTAGAACAATGTGTATACAAGGCCATACGGTATCCACAGAGTCCACACCAACATCTATACCACCAAAAAAAGGAAAAAAAAAGGAAAAAGAACAAATAAAGAATGAAATGCAGAAAGAAAACGGAAATTAAGCAATTTAAATGTCTATCGGACAGGATATAGGTATGCTTGCGCTGTGAAAAAACACACATCAACGCCCTGAAACCGCGTGAAACAAGACGCGTATCGCGAAACAAAGACCGAATTTTCCCCGAGTCGACTTCTTCCTCTTTCCCCCTGGAGAAGAGTGGTCAAGTCATGCAAAAGAAGAACAACGCCATTGGATATATGTGGGGAAACGACCGAAGAAAAGATCAGAACAATAATGCTGACAAAGGAAACCCGACAAAGGGAAAGGTAAGGAACGACTGAAAGAAAATCGCTTCTCCAAAACGATCGATGCCCAAAACACCAATAAAACACCGGCAAATGCAGCAGATGCAGATATAGACCAGGATTCCTTTTTATCCGGTCCGGCCCGACCGGGCATCTAAGCGCGCTCCATGAGCCACTAGCAACTGCACCACTTCAACATGTCCCTTCTCGCTGGCGACATGCAGTGGTGTCGACCCATGGTGGTCGCGAGCATTGACATCGATGTGTTCGGTGGCGAGTAGCAATCGCACCACGCCTAGATGCCCGCACTGGGCGGCAATATGCAGCGGGGTCTGGCCGCGTGAGTCCTGGACGTTCACGTTAACCCCGCGTTGAAGGAGCAGCAAGGAGACCACACGTTCGGTGCCGTGGCTGGGCTCCTGAGGGGTTCTCGGATTCGACTGAGGCTGCGAGGGCGGCGGCGTGGGAATGCCATCACGGGGTTGGTGGTGGATGTCTACTACATTCTCACCAGAGAGATCGCGTGAGGGTATAATGCTGGGAAAGAGACATGGATCCTATCAAGGAGGTTAGCTCATATCGGTCTGGAGATCGAAAACCATATACTTTGGACAGCAAGAGGGAAGCAGGGGATATATGGAAGAGAGAGAGAGAGAGAGAGAGAGAGAGAGGCAGAGACCTACGCTGCTAGGTGTCCATAGAGGAGGCTGGCCGAATGGGGCGTCCGACAAGGTCATGGATAAATCGTTGAGGGAGTTGGTGGCCCAACTACCGCTGTCTGACAGGTCTGCATTCTGCCAGTCTGCTTGGGAGAGGTGCAGGACATCGGAGTCGGCGGAGAATAGGCCACCGGAATATTGTGACCAGATGTCGTTATCTGCATATGAGACTGGCCAGGGACAAGGGTCAAGGGGATCCCCGGGTGCCAGCACCGGATCCAAGCCTTTCATCATCATTCCGAGGGGAGAATTTTGCGCAGGAGACGGAGTCTGGGAGAGGGACCACGCGGGACTGTTCCGCATGATTTGGATGGCAGGGTTATTTGCTAGCTCCAGAGTATCGCTACACCACCGGATGTACTGAGGCTAATAAGATTCTGGCAATCTGGATAAGGGTTGATCGGTCCGTCACACTTGTCCTCCTCTTTCTTTAATGTCTACGAAGTATGAGCTTGCTGATGGGTGAGCTTACAGCTTCATGGCTCCGGGGGATCGACCATCTCAGCAACACCGAGTACCTGATCCTGATGTTGCCGACAAACTGGGGCACTGGATCACCATCGCATGGACACCTGTAACGAGAGAGCCCTACTTGGGGGCCGTTACAGACACGGTGATCTCGCATTGTCCGTGAGATCCATGACGACGGTCATCCGATCGAGAGGCTGAAACAAGGCGAAAGAATAAGCTACTACAAAAATAATAATAAGCTATCCCGCTAAAGCTGAGTCTGCAGGTCTCCGTCATCCCTCACAGTGCATCTGCAACCTCATGTCCTCGGGATGTGGTGGGGGCCAGCCAAAGCGAAGCCACACCGGACGGATGCGAGAAACTCCCACAAACCCTGAGGTGATCAGTCCACAAAGACATAGACAGTGCATAGATAAACCTCGTAATCCACAGAACCTGTCATAATCACCCGTTCCACCACCGATCCTGGAAGAGAAAAAGAAAACCAAAGAAGACGAACAGTGGACACAAGAGACTCTCGAAACTCGTATCCCCGGTCACATCAGCATTCCCTATCATGACTTTCCCACCCGCACCAGCAGCGAATATTGGTCGGTACCCATTCGATCGTCCATAGGTTGGGATGGAGACTAACATGATTATGGAGTAGATTGGACGAAGTTAGGGCTCGCGGTGACGGACCTGGGTAAGAGAGAATCGAATGGACCCGCACGAAGAAACCAAGAATAACATTATTCTGTCCTAGTCAACGGCCATGTGGAGTCGACCTTTTCCGCTTCCACAGGGAAGTGGACATCGCCCAAGTTCGTGGAGGATCCATATCTTCGCATCCACGGCTTGGCCCCAGCCCTCAACTACGGGCAACAGGTGTATGAAGGATTGAAAGGTGAGCTGTTCTCTCCCCCCACAACACTGGATCGGAATCTAATAATAGAGTGATTAGCCTACCGATCGGCTGCTGACCAGATCCTTCTCTTTCGCCCACGATTCCATGCGGCGCGCATGCAGCACTCTGCCGACGTGGTCTCCATTCCTCCCGTCCCCACCGACCACTTTCTGGAGTGTGTGAATCTTGCGGTCGCGAGAAACGCGGAGTGGGTCCCTCCTCACGCGAGCGGCGCCGCCTTGTATGTGCGCCCGGTCCTCTTGGGCTCCGGGGCGCATTTTGCACTGACCCCTCCTGCCGAATATACTTTCTGCGTATATGTGCAGCCCTTCAGCACCTATCACGGCATTGCGCCCCTGCCGGCGGTCGTTCTCGAAGACTTCGACCGTGCTGCACCCCGGGGAACCGGCCACGCGAAGATTGGAGGCAATTACGCCCCCGTGATGAAGTGGTCGGAAAAAGCGAAGAAGGAAGGATTTCCTATGACCCTGCACCTAGACAGTGCCACTCATACCGAAATCGATGAGTTTTCCACCTCGGGATTCCTGGGGGCGAAAATGGATGGGGAGAAGCCCGTGTTGGTGGTGCCCAAGAGCGACAATATCATCGGGAGTGTGACGTCCGATAGTTGCATGCAGATTGCTCGGTCCTTGGGATGGACTGTCGAGCATCGCGCAGTACGAACACCTGGTCTCTCTCTTCCGATCGAGTCTATGACTGACAGTACTTCTAGGTCAAATACGAGGAACTCGCAACCTTCAACGAGGTTATGGCCGTCGGCACCGCTGCCGCCTTGGTTCCTATTCGGTCCATTACCCGGAAGTCGCGCGACGACCATTTCGTTTTCACCGAGGAGTCGACTGCGGGTCCGGTATGCCAGCAGCTATATGCCGCGCTCACTAAGATCCAACGTGGTGAAGCTGAGGACCAGTTTGGATGGCGTGAGGAGGTCCAGGGGACATCTGATGTGGGTTCTTCTGGCTCTTCTTGTATCATTATGTAGATAATTTTCTATGTGCAGAGTGTTTAGCGGTTCTAATGTTTACATGCCAATTTGACAGAATGCCATAACCCAAAGTGAAAGCACGCTTAGAATGTAAGTGTAACTATACGGAGGCCGCCAAATGGCCCCCAACTAAGGTGAGGTGTTCATACTCACCGTAGATTAGGATCTTCAATGTCTGCTGCCGGTTGGAGGTACACACAGGGCTGGGGTTGGTGGCTGAGCTGCTGTCGCCGTTTGCCGTCTGACACAGTAGAAATATGCCAATGATAGTCGTGATCTTTTATGAAAACTTCAAATATGTTTGATACATCTCTTTAGACATTGAATTTTATTTTATTTTCCCTCCTCTTCTTTTGCTTTTTCTCTTTTGCTGTTCTTTTTTTTTGCTGTTCTGTTTTAATTTGCTGGCTAAAGACTGGAAGGGTTACCGAAGTATGCGGATTCAAAGACAACTGGACCAATTTCATTCTCACCAGACACTTTCCAGGCCCCTCGAGATACTATTTAAAAATACATACACATCGTATCATTCTCCAATTCCCTTCCCAACCTAAAAAACAAAAATTCCTATCGGAAAGAAACCTGCACGATCGGGCCGTCCTTTGCAGCCGTGACATGATCGCGCAACTGATATTCACCCTCGCGCTGTCTTCCAGGTCCCATGGCCTCATTTCCACCTCCAACCTTCTCGTCCTCACCCGGCGCACTGCGGAACTCATACTTCGATAGCATATATGCCATGGTCAGCATCAGCTCCGTCCATGCCAACCCTTTCCCCAGACAGCTCCGCGGTCCAATAGAGAACGGGTTGAAAGCCGACCGTGCGAGCTGCACCTTTTCCGGCACGGGGTCAAGCCAGCGATCGGGACGGTACTCAAAGGGTGCTGGGTAGTAGTCGGGGTTGTGTTGAATGGCGTAGATGCAGGTACCCACGTCGTAGCCTCGCGGGACGACGTGACCGTCAATGGTGACTCCGTCCTCAAGGACTTCGCGCCAAAGGGAGCTACTGGCCGGTGGGGACATACGAAGACTCTCGTCGATACATGCGCGCAGGATCACACAGTTGTTCAGGGCGGGTCCGAGTGCGACGTCGTCGGGGCCCCGGAACGCAGCGCGAACCTCTTCCTTGGCTTTCTCGTACCATTCCCGGTTGCGACAGAGGTAGAAGAAGGTAGAAGCGATGGCGGTGGAGGAGGTGTCGGATCCTTAGTGGCGTTAGGCGACGAAATAGATAGAACAGGAAATGGGAGAGAGAGAAAGGCGATCTTACCGGCAACAATCATGGTGGTACTTTCAGCACCAATCTCTGCAGGCGTAAATCCCTGTTGCGTCTCCGGATCGACCGCATCCAGCAAGAATGAGAATGCGTCGTGGCGCTTCAAGGGCTTCGCAGACATGCGCTTCTTGAGCAGAATGTTGACAAAGCGAATGAATGCATTCCGGCCTTGAATCGCCTGGGGGAACAGCCAGCGGTCGAGACGGCGTGTGGATAGTTCACCAGCCTGCGACAAGACTCCAGTACGCACGTTAGAGTCCTCAATGCACTTGACGATCTGCCGGTTGTTGGGGCTGCCAATGAGATCAAAGCTTTCGCCGAAGATGATGCCGGACATGATGTCGAAGGTGAGGTAGTTTGCTGAGAAAAGTGTCAGCAGCTCGGCTTTCGCCAGGAATGGGAAGGACGATACATACACCATTTTCCCATATTCTGCGGACTAGACCAGTCACCAGCTTTTCCGCCCGAAATATCCTTGGACAGCTCGTCGCAGAACTTGCGTACATGACCCATGATAGTCCCTTCGAAGCCACGCAGGGCGGCGTCTCCAAAGCCCTGGCCGATGATGCGTCGCTTGCGACCGTGTTGCTTTTTGTCAATGAGGGTGAGCGTGTTGGGAGCGCGATGAACCATGGCACCGTAAGCGGCCGACTTCTGGAAGCTTTTGCTGTACGCATAAATCTCTGAGAGGGTAGATGATCTGGTTAGTGACGTCCAGTGATGCAAGTCTAAAAGAGACAAACCCTTCAGACCGGTATTGGTATTGAACAGCACCCGATTTGGCGCATAACGAACATAGTTGCCTGTCATATCACCCGTTAGTGAGTGCCGAGTCGGCATAGAAAAGAAGGTTCGTATAACAAGCTCACCATATTTTTCATGGCAGCGCATCATGTCAATGTGCAGGTCTCCCTTCCAGGCGTAGTACCCTCCATAGAGATTGGTCACTTTGGCCAGCAAAGGACCCGGGTACTTCGCAAGGGGATGGAACCAGATACGATAGATGCAGATAGCGAGCACCTGACAAACTGGTCAGTGAGGATCCCATCCTCATTAGGGCTGGAAGCAAGGGCTCACGTAGGCCAGACATGCAACGGGCACCGCCGTCACATAGGCAAAGAGAGGCACATGTCTCAGCAGCGCGACTGCCTGCATGATGGTCGTTGATCGATTTGATACTAAGTAGAAGACGGAGTAATTGATGGTTTACGGACTTGGGCAACAAATGGTTATGATGGCAGTTCAAGCCAAATAAGTCCGGCAAAAAGACATGCTGATAGCAGAAGCACCGGTAGGAGATCCCTTACAACCTCGGTGGTGAGGTGATTGCATCGCGCAATGTCATCTACATTGTATGATTCTGGGTCCAAGAGCCGCTGTCTGACGGTGACAGAGATAAATTTAGATCACCGTTCCTGAGTGTCAAAACCTGGGGGTTTCAGATTGTTGGGCGGATCCTGCGACTTGGGGGCGGTCGCTACTAGCTGTCAGCCAGCGTAAGCCCTAAAGCGATTCCATCAACGATGTAAGCCTGCAGTGTGAGCCACTAGCGCGGTTCGCCTTGGAGCTGGATCACTCAACCTTATTCAATTGATCGCTGCTGCTGCATGCGTGAGATGTTATGGCGCTTTTCCTTCTCTCACGTTGAGGCCTCCGCCCCGAAACACATCGCCACGTGTGTAGTAAGCCCTCGGTGGTTGCTGACACGGGCTATACTGAATCCCGAGTATTATGGGCTTGCAAAGAGGAACCATGCACACGTAATAATGATAGATCCTGGTAGCCGAGTCCCTTTTAAGTACTCGTGTCGGTCGACCAAAGTCACCCGACTGTCAATGACATCGATACCCGAGCAACTTTGCCATGTCTGCCACAATGCAGCCGGAAGTTGAGCAGCAGCTTGCATATGTGCTCTTAATTGAGCTGTTGGCGTGAGTGATGCTGCCTATGTCTCCCGACCGATCATGGCGATATCTGACCAAGGAAATAATCACTTGTAGGCATCAGTTTGCGTCGCCAGTCCAATGGTAAGTCCCCCATCGTTGTATAATAGAGAATTTTTTACTAACCGCACTTCCGAACACAGGATTGAAACCCAAGATGGACTCATCACAGATCAGAATGTCGAACGGTTCATCGAAATAGGCCCGGCAGACATCCTCACCGGCATGCTCCGAAAGACTGTCGGTCAACAGTACAAATCTCAAGATGCTGCACGACACATGACACGAAAGCTACTCTCATACGCGCAGAATGCAGATGAAATACAGTATATCTCGGGGTCGTCAACAGCAACCAGCCGGCCAGCTGTGAAGCCTCACCCGCTATTGTCACAGACACCGTCGGCCTCCAGTAAGGCTGTGGAAAATACGCCCTCAGCCCCTGCTGAAACTCAGGTCACTACTTCACCGACCCCGGTTGCCAAAGTAGCGATGGTTGCAGATGCTCCTGTCCAAGCGAAGGATATTGTGATCGCCATCATTGCACAAAAGCTGAGAAAGAGTCACAGCGAAGTAGCAACAGACAAAACAATCAAGCTGCTAGTGAGCGGTATAGTACTCCCTCTTATATTACATTAAATATAGCGGCTGATGATCCGAGTACAGGCCGATCGACCTTAGAAAATGAGATCGTGGGCGACCTCGACGCCGAGTTCGGATCCCTTCCCGAGAGGGCGGAAGAACTAGGGTTAGAGGAACTATGCAATACACTGCAGTCTGGCGCAGCCTTCTCAGGACAGCTGGGTAAAGTATCCACAGGGATCGTCTCCCGCGTCTTTGCACAGAAACTCCCCGCTGGCTTCTCTAGCGGTGATGCCCGTGAGTATCTTCAGACTCGATGGGGTCTTGGGGCTGGACGTCAGGATTCGGTTTTCTTGCGAGCAAGCACAGCACAAACATCTTCCCGATTGGCAAGTTCGGGAGAAGCACAGACATTCTTTGACCAGATAGTACAGCAATATGCGACAGACAACGGCCTCAACCTGTCTGCGTCCGCGCCGGCCGCGGAGGCAGCAGCAGCGTCGGCTCCTGTGGACAGCAAGGCTCTCGGCTTGGTGAAGAAAGACCAGGAGAGACTTCGGAAGGCGCAGATGGAGCTCTACGCCCGGCTGCTCGGGAAGGATCTGGGCCATGATGCACGAGAAGCGCTCAAGGCACAGCTGGCGACTGTCAAGCTGCAGGAGCAGTTGGACTTCATCACAGCCGAGGTGGGCGATGTCTTTATCTCAGGTATTCGTCCGCTATGGGCAGCTGCCAAGGTTCGACGCTACAACTCCAGCTGGAACTGGGTGTTGCAAGATACATTGCATCTGTTCCACCGGATTCTGCGAGGGAACTTTGGCAATGCCGATTTCCCTAAATACAGCAACGCCATCGCCAACCGATCTAGCCCTCGCTTACTGCAAATGATCAAGTACCTCTCGAACAGCCCATGCTCGCTCTGGGGCACTCGTTTCCCAGAAGCCAAGACCGTGATGCGTCGCCTGGTAGACCTCTGCGAGAAGCCGCGCGCGCCTCGATTTGAGCCATTGGCCGCGAACTATGATGCCTTCATCAAGGGGCCGAGCACTACGGTGGATGAGAATGGTCATATCAAGTACCGCGAGGTCCCTCGCGGTGGATCCCCCGTCATCGCATCGATTCATATCAAGACCCAGCGACATTCGACCTGGCTGACCGACCGCTCGGTAACGGCGTTGTACCTGGACGAGGTACAATCATCCTGGAATGACGGTATCACCTTTATCAATAAGTGTGTGCTCATGACTGGAGTGAGTATTGGATCCATTGGAGCCGAAATCCTGAAAGGCCTTCTGAGTGGTGGAGCCAAGGTCGTGGTTACCACCAGCAGCTACTCCTCTGCCACGACCCGGTTCTACCAGCGTCTCTACGTTGAACACGGTTCGCGGGGATCCGAACTGATCGTTGCCCCATTCAACCAAGGAAGTCAGCATGATCTCGATGGTCTTGTGGAGTACATCTACACCTCGGGGAGTGGCCTGGGCTGGGACCTGGACCACGTTGTTCCCTTCGCGGCAATCTCCGAGGCTGGACGTGAGATTGACAATATTGATGCCAAATCCGAATTGGCTCACCGAATCATGCTCACCAACACGCTTCGTTTGCTGGGGGCCATCAAGAAACAGAAGCAGCTTCGGGGATACCGCACGCGGCCGACCCAAGTCATTCTGCCCCTCTCGCCCAACCACGGCGCGTTTGGCAACGATGGTCTGTACGGCGAGTCGAAGATTGCCCTCGAATCCTTGTTTGAGAAATGGCACTCGGAAAGCTGGTCGACATACCTGTCCATCTGCGGCGCAGTCATTGGTTGGACGCGTGGCACCGGTCTGATGGCCGATAACAACATTGTCGCGGCAGGGATTGAGCGTCATGGCGTGCAGACCTTCTCCACAGCCGAGATGGGAGCGTACATCTTGGTGCTTATGACTCGGAAGCTTGCGAATCAGTGCAACGTACAGCCCCTGTATGCCGATCTGACCGGCGGTCTGAACACGATTCCGAATCTGAGGGCTACCTTGGATAAGGTTCGGCGCGAGATTGTCGACAAAAGTGCCATGCGCACCGTCCTCGCGCGGGAGCAAGCTGCTGAGCAGAAGCTTACTACCTGTAGCTCTCCGACGACCCAGGAGAAGGAGGCACGGACGCGCCTGGCAAATATTCGCTTCTCATTCCCCGCTCTGCCCGATGCGAAGACCGAAGTCGACCCCTTGCGAGCAACATTGATGGGCATGGCAGACCTGGAGCGCATCGTGGTGGTCACAGGCTTTTCGGAGGTTGGCCCGTACGGCAACTCTCGGACTCGCTGGCAGATGGAGGCCACGGGGCGTTTGTCCTTGGAAGGATGCATTGAGATGGCCTGGATTATGGGCCTCATCAAGCACCATGACGGCCCGCTGGACGGGAAACATTTCACCGGCTGGGTGGATGCTAAGACAAAGAAGCCCGTGCAGGACATGGATGTCAAAGCCCGATATGAAGAGCATATTCTCAATCATACGGGAATCCGGCTGGTGGAGCCGGACCTGGATCCTAGCGAACCACCCGGCAAGAGACGTCTCCTGCAAGAGGTCGTGCTGGAAGAAGATCTACCGCCCTTCGAAGTCTCTCCTGAGGTGGCACAGCAACTCATCCACGAGCATGGGGAGAACCTGGTTGATATCTCACCGCAGGGTGAACAATGTGTTGTCAACCTGAAGAAGGGCGTGGTGCTGATGATCCCCAAGGCTCTGCAGTACCAGCATGCGGTTGCAGGACAGGTTCCTACCGGCTGGGATGCACGCGCCTACGGCATACCGGACGACATTGTCGCCCAGGTTGACCGTGGAACTCTCTTCACCTTGGTCAGCACCATGGAGGCGCTTGTGGCCTCGGGAATCACCGACCCCTACGAGCTATACCAGTATATCCATCTCTCCGAGTTCGGCAACTGCATCGGTTCGGGTCTTGGTGGCGTGCACTCGTTGAAGAAGATGTTCCGGGACCGGTACCTGGATAAGGATGTCCAGAAAGACATTCTCCAGGAAACCTTTATCAACACCACGGCTGCCTGGGTGAATATGCTGCTGATCTCCTCCGCTGGCCCCATCCGCACGTCGGTTGGTGCTTGCGCCACTTCGATCGAGTCTTTGGAAACTGGGTTCGAGACCATCGTCACTGGACGTGCCAAAATCTGTCTTGTCGGTGGATACGATGACATGACGCAGGCGGTAGCGGAGGAGTTTGCCAACATGAAAGCCACTACCAACCCCGAGGAAGAGGCCAAGAAGGGCAGGCTTCCTCAGGAGATGTCGCGGCCCGCTGCAGAGAGCCGCAGCGGCTTCGTTGAGTCTCAGGGCAGTGGTGTCCAGGTTATCACCTCAGCCCGTTTGGCCCTCGACCTGGGTCTGCCAATTCATGGCATTGTCGCCTGGGTGGGAACTGCGAGTGACAAGACGAGCCGATCGGTGCCGGCACCAGGACAGGGTATCCTGACCAACGCGCGCGAGAAGCCCAACAGTCGGTTCCCATCGCCACTGCTTGACATTCGTTACCGCAAGCGCCGTCTCGAGGCGCGACTGAAGCAAATCCAAGAATCGGTTGACCTCGAGGTACAGATGCTTGAGGAGCAAATGACCCAAGACGGAGAGGCTGCGGAAGAGCTTCAGGAAGAGCTCCAGAACCACAAACGCTTTGTCGAAGGTGAAGCCGAGCGCCAGCGCAAGGAGGCCTTGAACACATTTGGTAATGAATTTTGGAAGAATGAGTCCGCCATTTCTCCCGTTCGGGGCTCTTTGGCCGTTTTCGGTCTGACTATCGGTTCGTCATGCCTCTATCTCTGCATTAACTGTCTAGATATCATGGAACTGACCGCCTACTAGATGATTTGGATTTCGTTTCCTTACATGGCACTAGCACTGTCATGAACGACAAGAACGAAGCCTCAGTGCTCGAAGCCCAAATGCGACACCTCGGCCGCGTACCCGGGAACCCCCTCTACGCTATCTCACAGAAGTATCTTACGGGTCATCCCAAGGGTGCCGCAGGAGCATGGATGCTGAATGGTGGCCTACAAGTGCTGGACACGGGCCTTATCCCCGGCAACCGCAACCTGGACAACGTCGATGGGACGTTGGAAAACAACGAATACATTCTCTACCCCAACCGCAGTATCCAGACCAAGGGATTGAAGGCATTCTCAGTGACTTCCTTCGGCTTCGGGCAGAAGGGTGCGCAGGCCATCGTGGTGCATCCTCGGTATCTCTACGCTATGCTCGAGGATGGCGAATACCACGCATACCGGACACGCCGTCTGACCAGATATCGGAAGGCATTCCGCTTCTTCCACCATGGGCTGGCCACGAATACCATGTTCGTCGCGAAGACCGAGGCTCCCTATCGACCAGACCAGCAAAATGCGGTGTTATTGGATCCTACGGCGCGAATGCAGTCAAAGGAGTCAACGGAGTCGCCCGAGCCAACAATTGGGGTTTCGTTCTAAGCCTCCATATATTTTTTCTTTACTTTTTTTTTCTTCATTTCCTCTACTTTTCTTGGAACTATGCTCATTCTGTGGCAATGTCCTATCCTTGTAATATGAGCGGTTTTCTTTTTTCTTCTTCTCCTAGAACCAGCAGAGCCTCGCTGCGGGGAAGAGCAATTGGGCACTTCTGTATATACTACCTAGCCAAGTAGTAGTAGACTAGATTGATCGAAAAATTGACCATATTCACTGACTCGCGTCCACAAAAGGTAGCCTAGGACCACGTGACAGCACCAACATTTGGATGCATCCATCATTGGTTCCTAACCTGAGAAGCCCTAACAGAGGAACTAAAATCCCTCGCGTTGGACTCCTCCGTTGTCTTCGGGGATATATCCCGGTGTACCCCACTGGGATCCGGCGGGTTTAAGTCTAAATAGACAGGGATCGACCACAGCCCCGACTGTGAACTTGAGCATGATGGAGGGCGTTGTCATGGAGTCTGTTTTCGAACAGTACCTCATATACAGACGATGACGCGATTGCGCTCGTTCCTGCTCCTGAGCGAAGTGACATGAATGGGTACTTGGGGACAATCTTGGGCCGAAGTCGCTGCCATGGCCTCCTGCAGCCTCGACTCAATCCAGCGGGATCCCGGTACGGTTGGCTGCAACCCTTCGCAGGGGTGCGAATGCTTATATTGGGGACACTTAACTTTGCATCATACCATTTGTTGCGACAGATAATGCTGGTTTGTCTCTCTGGAGCACTGCCCGACTTTTATCCTCCTTGTTGAAACAAACTGCTCAGAGTATCCTGGGACTTGGCGCTAGGTGAGGCTAAGCCAGCCCTTCGATCAGCCCTGTGTAGATAACGTCGAAGATACTGCCAGTAGATGTCAACAATGAAGATCAGCTAGAGCGTCTTTCTACAAGAATGTTATTGCCGTGCATGGTTTTGGAAAGGACGAGTTGGGGTTTGCCCAGAGAACATTAAGTATGATTTTGAATCCCTTCTTTTTTTGGTATACTTTTTGTGAGAGAAGAATCGGAAGCATTCGATGAAGCATATGAATTTACTAGTCACTTGAATATATTCTTATCCTACAAGGCAAAAGCAATGCGTGATCATTCAGTTCGATCACAGTGAGCAATCTACTCAATTGAATGTAGAAAGGATCTTCATGTCTCTCGTTCTCCCAACGGAAATATGCTTACGACAATACTGTACATTTCATGCACGGATGCAAGTTTATGCATGTATTCTTATGCTGGATTGAATGGGATTATGGAACAAGCGTGACAATAGGGTTATCGCGATGGGTCCAGCTGCAAGCGGCAATGATTCAGCGCTCGACGACAGACCGCCATGATTGGAGATGCCGGACATGCAGTGGGGCGACTGAGTCAGTGCTTGTCGTCAAGAATGGCAAATGAAGCTGCTTTCCTACTCTTTGCCACGGACTCTAGGTAAGTATTTCTGGTGGTGGGGTTTGCTACAGGGGACACATGGCCTTGTTGTGGAGGCTAATCACGTCGTGAGCATCAATTTCGACCTGTCCCTATATCTTGTGCAGGATATGCAGGTCTGGGCGGTCCTCAGACAATCCTCCCAGAAACATACCTGGAAGGCACCAAATTTATACCTTCTTCACACAGATAGACTACTTATTGATCGACTCAACGGGTGGTCAGTGGACATGAGTATCGGTCAAGCATCGCGGGATCCAGACAACGGCCAGAGCGTCGGTCCGATATCAAGTCTTTGGGTTGACACGGGGAGTTATGAAGGCTTGGCTGGTATAAGCACAAGGAGAGTCCCACTTGCTGGAAATAAGTTTAAGATGCTTTCGTATATCATGTCGGCTGGTGGCTTCCGAACCGATGTTTATAGCCCAAGTACTCTTTTTTCTTTTTCTTTGCCTTTTTTGCTTTTTTTTTTTTTTTTTTTTTTCGCTTGCTCTGCTCCTTTATAAACTAGTCACTCGTTTCTTTCCATTTCCTATGTCTACTACCCTCTCAGAGCACGGCCTGTCTAATCGTCCATTAACTGCTTACACTGAGCCCCTGGCTACGTGGATGGCTCGTTCGAATTAAAAGATCTCTCACCTCTATCATGGAATCCGCCGACTATAAAGAGTCGGACGCAAGCGCTACAACAATGACGGAGAAAGGGCCGGGAGATGAACAGCCGGACCTCGAGCAGGGCAAGACGCAGACGGCAGAACCATCTCAACTCTACCCCGAAACGGACCTTGACCGTGGCATTGTGGGATGGGAAGGACAAGACGACCCTGCGAATCCGCTAAACTTCGCCCCCAGCAAAAAATGGGCTCTCCTGGCACTGATTAGCGCATTTACCTTCGTGAGTCCGCTGGCGTCGAGCATGTTCTCCCCAGCCCTCAGCTATATGGCTGCCGACTTCAAAGAAACCGACGAAACGATCCTTTCCTTTACCGTCAGCATCTATCTTCTAGGCTATGTGGTATGATTGAGTTTGCCTGTCTGAATGCACAATCAAGAGAGTTTGCGGCTGACTAGATATGATGCCTCACAGTTCGGTCCGCTAATCCTAGCTCCGCTCAGTGAGATCTACGGACGACGGATCGTACTCAGCATCGCGAACTGGTTCTTCGTCGTCTGGCAAATCGGATGTGCGCTCGCCCCGAATATTGCATCCTTGATTGTGTTTCGGCTCCTCGCAGGAATCGGAGGATCGGCATGCCTCACGTTGGGCGCGGGCGTCATCGCGGATCTCTTTGAGCCCCAGCAACGAGGAAAGGCAACCTCCATCTGGGGCGTGGGACCATTGATCGGTCCGGTCGCGGGTCCCATCGCCGGAGGCTTTCTCGGTGAAGAAGTCGGCTGGCGGTGGGTGTTTTGGGTGCTGTTGATTGTGGGCGGGGCCATGGCATTGGGAATTGAGATCCTCAATCGGGAAACGTACGCCCCCGTCATCATCCGGTGGAAAACCGCCAAGCTGTCCAAGGAACTGGGGAGAACAGACTTGCGCAGCGCATACGAGCTCAAGAGAGGCCAAGTTTCCACAGGTGAACTGTTGAAGCAAAGTCTGGTGCGGCCTATGTTGTTGTTAGTCAAGTCCCCCATCGTGTTACTGCTGTCGACATATATGTCCCTCGTCTATGGCCTTCTCTATCTGTTCTTCACAACCATTTCAAGCGTCTTCACGGGGCAGTATGGATTCTCCACCGGCCTGTCGGGATTGGCCTATCTGGGTATCGGTATCGGTTTTATGCTGGGTCTTGTCTTTGTGGCGGGCACGAACGACCGGATCATGGTGAAACTTGCAGCTCGTAATGGAGGCAAGACAGAACCGGAGATGCGACTCCCCCTGATGATCATCTTCTCATGTATCCTCCCGATCAGCTTCTTCTGGTATGGCTGGACAGCCGACAAGCATGTCCACTGGATTGTACCCATCATTGGAATGGCGCCGTTTGGGATCGGAATGATGGGGGTTTACCTTCCCATCCAGACGTACATCATCGACTCCTATCCCGCCTACGCCGCATCAGCGAACGCAACCTTAACGGCGACGCGATCCCTCGTGGGCGCATTGCTTCCCTTGGCCGGACCGTCCATGTTCGAAGCGCTCGGCCTTGGCTGGGGAAATTCTCTCCTCGGGTTTTTGGCGCTGGCATTCGTTCCGATCCCTATCGTGTTTACCAAATGGGGCAAGTTCATCAGAGAGAAATACCCGGTCAATTTCGACAAAGTCAGCGCTTGATGTTGGCCTGTTGGTGATGAGCATCACACAGCCGGATCACACACATTCATATACTCCCAAAGTCGGTGGATACATAATAAGCATAGACTTGTATATAGTTGCGATCATTTTCCAAAATAAAATATTAAAGACCACGATCACTTTTCACCCTGATAAAATTCTTTATCCACAAGCTCATAGGTGATAGCCCCGAGATCAACTCCCGCAAGAAGTTGAGGATATCTTTGCATAAACTCGGGTGTAAGACCCCATCCTGCTTCACTCATAAATGTTTCGAAAAATTTCTCTTTAATACACAACTCGTTGTCCGAGTTCCGTTCGAGGATGCCCTCCCCCCACGGCCACCGAATCTTGACACAGCACGAGAACAATCCAAAAACGTCGTCGCGAATATCGCGGAGCACATCCCAGTGTCGAATCAGGTTCACTCGGAGTTGCGGCCAGGGTATATTGTCGAGCACCATGGGATGTGTAATCTGGAGCTGGTCTGGAACCGGTCGCAGAAAGAGTGGGAGGTTTGCGTAGGTCGCAGGACTGGGCGATACAACCCATCGTGTAAGATGGTAGCATAGCCAGCCCATGGCTAGGCGTTCGGGGTCACGGATAGGGCGTCTCTGTGTGGCTTTATAAATCATGTCCGCGAGGTAGTTTGTATTTGTGCCGTAGAGGAGGTCTAGTGGAGAGGAGGGGGAGTTGGGGCACAGGGCTATTCGCTCCGGGTATTCCAACCAAGGGCAGGAAATGGTTCGCGGGTCCAAGAAGTTGTCGGCATGCAGAGGGAGTTGTTTCCAGATGAGACTGGTATCCGTCGTCGGGGGTTCTCTGGAAAGTGTCTGTGTGTGAGGGACTTGCTGATGGCTTAGTTCACCACTCAACCGTAATGAGGATGGGTTTGGGTCATCGCGTGGAGTATTATTTCTGCTCGATTGGATCGGATTCGAACTAGAATCAATGTTGTTCATGAGTCCTCCAGGGATTGCGATCAAACCCGGTACACTTTGGTCGCGAGATTCATGCGTGTTGGTCGGCACCTCAACTGGACTTGCGTCCCAGGAATTGACAAGACACTTTAAACGTTCCTGACGTGATCGCAGAGCTTTATTTTGCTCCCGGAGACCAGTAATTACTTGCAGGAGGCGCTGGATTCCGTGATCGTCGTGGTGTTCCCGACAATGAGCAACTTCTTTCTCGAGCACGGCCATCTGCTGTGAACGCTTGCTACGAAGGTTCTGCTGTGCGCGCCTATCGCGTAGTCGTTTTTTCTCTACTGATGACATTGTCCGTAGCGATCGGGGGGTTTGGCCGGTCGGAGGATAAGACGGGGAGGGGAGGCTTAACGGCGAGGGTTTGGTGGGTAAATCATGGCAGAGAAGCCGGCGAAGGATTCAATAATCCAGCGGCGTTGCAAGCCCTTGAAGTTGAAACCCCACGTTGAGAGAGGACTCTTGTGCCGCTTGAACGAATATGAAGTCTTCCAAGTTGATTTGGAACTTACGTTTGTTCGTGAGTAGCTTCAGTTGCTTTCCACTTTGGGCATGATGGGACTAACCAGACATGGAAGGCGGAAAGCTTAGTTAGGCTTAGCGCCACCCTGTGACATGACATATTCCAGAGTATTCTGTTCTGTCCAGATTCAAGACTCGCATTAACTCCCTACTACACTCCTCTTGTCGCAAGAAGTCAGACAAGAGGCCGGGCAAAAACCCACATCTATCACCGATTTTACGGTGCAATTCCGTCAGACTTCCCAGAGACTGTGCGTTCTCTGGAACCAACCCGGAAGCGTGACCTCAGCTCAAGCTGACGGACGGATCTACTTTCTACTCCGTAAAAGGCCCCTCTGCCGTTCTTCGCTTGCTTCTCCCCCCCGTCCCGGAACGAAAGAAGACTCCGTACTGGCATGAGGATTTCAGCCACCGTTACCTCTTCATTTCACCACGTGCCCCTGGGGTTTCTGCTGGATTGGCCAATCACGGCGCTGTAAGCCCTAAGGTGCCCCCCCGATGTGGGGATCTTAACGCATACAACCGACGCTACGAAGCTGCCTAGGAGCCACTTAGCATCCTCTAGTCAGCCCTAATGCGAGTGAGGAACACTGTGTTGCCGCCGGGAGCGATATATTAGTTCTCTCGCTTCGTTGATAAATACAAGGCTAGCCAGTGTGCCTCTGAATGGGGAGCTGGGGCTGGCCTGAATTATTACGTCGTCACCGTTGAAGATGCTTCTGCCTTACTATCTTCTCGCAGCTGCCGCCACGGTCATGGCGTCGCCGACCGTGTACTTCATCCGCCATGGAGAGAAGCCAGATGATGGCGGCAACGGTCTCAGCGCTCAGGGGGTCCAACGCGCTCAATGTCTCCGATCAGTCTTTGGCAAGAATTCTGGGTACAACATTGGCTATATAATGGCACAAACACCCAAGAAGAGTACGTTCAGCATCAAGCGACCGGTGTCTTCCTGGCGGGTCTAGATCGCTAACAATGACTGCTACAGGCGGCAAACGGGTCCGTCCCTATGAGACAGTTCTTCCCTTGGCCGACGACTTGGGTCTTACTGTGGATATTTCTTGCGACCGTGACGACCCCAAATGTGTGAAGAAGGCCGTTAACAACTATAAAGGAGACGGGAATATCTTGATCTGCTGGCAGCATGAGGCGCTCACGGATATCGTGAAGAAGCTCGGAGCCGACGATGCGCCGGAGTATCCAAGTGACAGGTGCTGAAGCCCTTTTCCTGACCCCTTCCTTGTCGAATCAAAATCACCATACTCCAAATTATCTCAGCGTGTAGGATGACTAGCGATCCTCTACTGACTTCAGATGATAGATTCGACTTGATTTGGACTGATCCTTCGCCATACACGAAGATCACGGAGATCACGAGTGAGCAGTGTCCCGGACTGGATGGTTAAGCATCAGACATGTTGCAGAGTAGCACCCGACTTGCGATCGTTCTATGAAACAGACCAGCAGTTATGACTTTTAATTATCGTCATTGGCATTGGATGTCCGTTGCGCTTTTGTTCATACTGCAGTTTAATTTTCTCTACTGATTTCTATGGGTTATTTGACTGGAACTTTGAACAATAGGGAGACAGCCATAGAGGAAGATCGTTCGTATAGGTGATTCTCTCCGCAATATACAAGGACACTGTGTCTAAACTGGGATCTCGCATCAATGGCAAGGCAATGGATCTTTGAGTGTTTTGTGCATCACGGTACTGCTTGCGTGCGATCACTTAATCTGAAACAGGGTTACCTTTCACACATGGTGACCAAGGCATGGCTCACGGTTTCGTTGCAGAACATGTCAGAAACCTGGCGAGACGAGGTGTCGGGCAACCGCGAAGGGGATCCTACCCAGCCAGTAAAACATGAAACGACAGGGTCCTAGGTTACATTGACGCAAATTAATTCCGCGTTATATATCGAGACTATTTTCTCTTCAAGAAGGGATCTTCTCTGAATTGCCGATATTACAAAGCTTGGCAGGGCGGGTTCCCTACGGACCCCCGGCGGCGAATCCCTGATGCACCCCGACTCCCTTGTCTGATAGGGTTGGAGACAGCAGATCCCCATCGCCTCCCAATTCTTTCGCTTGGATCCCATGACTTGTTAGGTTACAATGACTTCTGCAGATACAGCTAGTTTCCCTGCATTATAGGACAGTCGGAGACGTGCCAAGTGTTGCCAAGCAGCTCCTCATCTTTTGCATCATACTCGGCTCGGAAGATTCTATGGCGTTCAAAAGTAATGCACCGTTCCTGTCCATGTGTTCATGTGACTAGCGCGCTGGTCTATAAAACCTCGAGTTCCGTCTCTCCATAATGTGGGTCTTCTCCTCATATTCAAGCTTCCTCGGCTACTTGAAGATCCCATTCGTACCGGTTTGGTGACATAGACTTTCGTTCCCTCAAGATGCGCTTCCTCCCCTGCATCGCGACCTTAGCGGCTACGGCTTCTGCCCTTGCTATTGGAGACCATGTCCGCTCAGACGATCTTTATGTCTTAGAATTTAGCCCTGGGGAGACGAAAGTTGTCACAGAAGCAGAGAAATGGGCTCTGAGAGCGGTACGCTGCAATACCCTTTGTAAGCTAACGCCTCACAGTCGCTAATATGATTGAACAGGAGGGCAAGCGTTTCTTTGACATCACTGGCCGGACCAGTAGCCTGGAATTCGCTTCGAACAAGAAGCAAAAGCTCGCGGTCACATTTCCCGACTCTGTGCAGCACAACGAGACCGTGCAAACCCTGATCCAGTCGCTCGACAAAAAGAACTTCGAAACGGTTCTCCAGCCGTTCTCGGAGTTCCACAATCGCTATTTTAAGAGCGACAATGGCAAAAAATCGTCCGAGTGGCTGCAAGGCAAGATCCAGGACATCATCTCCGCCAGTGGAGCGAAGGGAGTCACTGTGGAGCCTTTCAAACACTCTTTCCCACAGTCGAGTCTGATCGCGAAGATCCCGGGCAAGAGTGACAAGGTCATTGTACTTGGAGCGCATCAGGATTCCATCAATCTCAACTCACCATCAGACGGCCGTGCACCGGGTGCTGGTGAGTTCTTCGGACGTCTTGTCCAGCGAATACCATAGAAGATCGCAATGCTAACAGAGGGGCGTGGTTAGATGACGATGGATCTGGTGTTGTTACGATTCTTGAAGCCTTCCGCGTTCTCCTGACGGACAAGAAGATCGCCGCCGGCGAGGCTCCGAACACCGTGGAGTTCCATTTTTATGCCGGAGAGGAGGGAGGTCTCCTGGGAAGCCAGGACATCTTCGAGCAGTACTCGCAGAAAAGCCGCGACGTGAAAGCCATGCTCCAGCAGGACATGACTGGCTATACCAAAGGCACCACTGATGCTGGAAAGCCAGAGTCGATCGGCATCATTACTGATAATGTTGATGAGAACCTGACCAAGTTCCTTAAGGTCGTTGTCGATGCTGTAAGTTCAGTCCTTGCCTTTGATCGACCCTCTGTGCTCATAGAGATTGCCTGTAGTATTGCACTATCCCGACCGTCGATTCGCAATGTGGATATGGGTGCTCTGATCATGCCTCCGCCACGAAGTATGGTTATCCCGCCGCATTTGCGTTCGAGTCAGCCTTTGGCGATGACAGCCCGCACATTCATTCGGCCGATGATACGACTGATACCGTCAACTTTGACCATGTGTTGCAACACGGAAGACTGACTCTTGGATTTGCATACGAGCTTGCCTTCGCAGATTCGTTGTAAGTCCTATGATGACAGGTGTATGAGTGAGAAATCAACATATTCATGTGTATAATATGTGGGCAGTGTTCAAATAGCACTTTGAATCAGCTAGTCAGCAGCATTTTTGAGGAAAGTAGGGGCTGATCCCAGAAACAGTCTAGCTGGAGGCTGTTAGAGACGTATCACTACGCCATCCGTAGTCTTCCCTACCATAAGCGGATTCTCACACGGTGGAATTTGCCATTCCCCTTGCCGTGAAAAATCAAAAAACTAGAGACATTTTAGAAGCGTGAGTATCAAATGTGAAACTCAAAATGCACCATCAAGCCCTCCGATACGTTGGAAGTAGGCACTATAAAACACATACTGCGTGGAACGACCGGCGTTTACATCACGTCGAGACTACTGATGTCTTAAACGAAAGAAATACGGGTTATGCCAGGGTTGGTTCTCAAAGTAAAAGATTCAATTGACTGTAGGGTCTGCCAGTCCAATAGAAGAAGATAAAACATTAGATCCTGTCACTATCACAGGGGACAGGACGACGAAAAGAAATAGACAAAGGATTGAATAAGCCAAGGTATAACTTGACAATCAGTTTTGTTGCAACGAGAACCAGCACTGAAAGGCATATCAGCCCATACACGTCAAATGGAATGAAATGCCCTCACCAGGCCAGTTTAAGCCTGGTTCCAGTCGCCAAGTTTGGAGCCACCGTCGAGCGTAACAACCCGGGTGTTGTTGTACACGTTCTGCAAGAAATTCTTGGAGTTCTGCTTGCCGTCCTTGATGAATTCATCATTCCACACCATCCAGTAAGCCCAGTTGACCTTGTCGCGAGCCTGGATGGTGGGATCGGGAATAGGGCCGACTTCGGCCAGAGCCAAGACTCTCTCGTTGTTGGTAACGGCCTGGAGCTTCTTGTATTTGTCTGCGAGGACGCCATGGTCACCAGCATCGGCGTAGTGGTCGACGGTGGCGATGTCACACTTATCGTTTCCGGGATACCAGTCAGCCTCGGCGGTATTGCACACCCAGACCACGTTGTGGAGGTTGTGGAAACGAGTGATGCGGTCGTAGATCATATCCCAGAGCGCCTTGAACGGGGCAGGACCCTGGGCACCCCACCAGAACCATCCTCCCTCGGGCTCGTGGAGCGGGCGGAAGAGAATGGGAACATTGGCCTGATCCAGACGCTTGATCTGTGCGGCGATGGCATCGATATCACGCAGCAGGAGGCGATAGTTGGTCCCGTTTCGACGGTCGTTGACGGCATCGGCAACGTTGAAGCAGGTGGCCTTGGTGTAGAATCCGCTGTACCATGGCTGTTCGGCATTGTCGAGCAGACAAGTCGGAGCGTACCAATGCCAGACCAGGGCGTTGATTCCGTTACGGTCTGCGTGCTGGATCACATCCTCGACGGCGTGAGACTTGCTGCCGTGAGCAACAGCCGATGGCGAGTAATACATGAAGTCGCTACCCAGGATCGCAGGGGACACTCCAATGTTCTGCTTGACCCAGTCCCAGCTGCCTGTATCCTGCTGACCGGAGATGTAATGCGATCCGTACTGAGACTGAATGTATTTCAGAAGCGCTCTAGCGCCGGGGGTGGCCGACTTGTCAATGTTGTCGTAGGACAGTCCCTGGCCGCCGGCGGCCAAGGCAGTAGAGGTGAGGAGAAGAGAAAGGAAGGAAAATTTGGCAAGCATGTTGGAATATACCAGCTATTCTATAGAAAACGAGCGAATGACTTGTAGAATAAATCGATTAGGTATGTTCAGCATCTAGGAATTGCCCTGCCCTTTATACGTCCGTAGACCTCGAAGATCCTTGTCAGTTTAGTGATGACGAGGCTCGTCATATGATAGAGGTGGAACTTTCATCTTGTTCATGACGATCAATAGACACTGCCATCTTCGCAGTATGTTCTTTTACTGTCTGAGGACCACTACAGCCTGCGTTCTCCGGTTTTTCGTAAGCGATTCCACTATCCCTTCGCCCCCACAGAGGACCCAAGCGGGTACACCGGATCCAGTCTCCCTCTTTTGTATGCCATTGGTATGTTATAGAACATGCAATAGGTCAATCGCCACTATTAGCCCTTTCCATAGACTCTGAGGAGATGTATAGATGTCTCAACGCTAGATTCCTGCTGGTGTGTTTCAGCTAAGTCATTGACAGCTTCGTTGACTCCAGATAATCAAGGTCAATGTGGTCATGGCTTGGTTGGACAAGGACAAGGGCAATAGTACTACTGCTGATGGGATCTATGCCGGTATGTAGGGTTGAAGTGTGTTAGGCTTACCGTTCGGGGAAACCCCCGTCTGGCTCCACAGACACGGCAGCATCGGATATGGATCTAGATTGCATACAACCGTTGAGGAACCGTTAATTTGTGGTAGCGCCAGCTTGATTAAGGGTTTAATCAGGAAATTGCCCAAAATCTATTTCACTGACTCGTTTAAAAGAGGGGCCCTGGTCACGGTGGATTCTCCGATGATCCGCCGAGAATATTCAGTCCCTTAGGAAAATAATAATAATAAAACAATAGAGAAAGAAAGAAAACGAAATTCTGTCTCAATCTAAGGATTTGACCTACTGTATATACAGTTTTTGAGCCTTGGCTTAAGAACTGTTGGACCTGTCTAATGACTAGTCCTTCCTGTGACCGAGATTCCGACAAAGATCATGCAGTCTAAGATAGTCCAATGCTAGCAACTCAACGCTTCCTGGAATATGACTATATTAGCTGCTCAGCAGAGATATGGGCTGCAGATCACCGTTTATATCTCCCTTTTGGTTGCCAATATCGCACGTAGAAATCCCTGTCTATGATGAGATTGGCTGGGATTCAATGCCAAGTAGAATGTACACAATACAAATTCTAAACACTGGGCCCCATCACTTTAAGTGCCAGCGATCTGCAGGACAGTAT